GCTTGGGGCTGCCAGGAGCGAGGCACAGGGGGTGCTGTGTGCATGTGCAGGGCTGCATACATGTGTGGCCAGGAATACAGCCAGAGCTATGGGCAGCTCGTCCAGGGGGCATGGGGGTGCATGTGCCTCCCAGATTTGTGCGCAGGGTGGATGTGGGCTGCCTGCAGTGGGCTTGGGGCTTTCTGCTCTGCTGCCTTTCCCTTGGGAGCCCTGCGCTGGCTGCGCACCCCCTGCCCACCTGGTAACAGTGGGCACGGCAAGTTGTGCCCACTGCTGCTGGGTGGGCAGGGGGTGCATGACCAGCGCGGGGCTTCTGGGGCAAAGGCGGCAGGGTGGAGAGCCACAGCACCACGGTGGGCAACTTGCATCTGCCCTCACCCCTCTCAGCTGTTTCTCTAAAAAGCATCCCTGAACTTAAAAATGTTGGTGGTGCTTGAACTAAAGCTCATTCGAACTAAAGCCCCACTGCCATTTTTAAGACCCAAGACTTTGGTACATGTGACACCGGAGGCTGCTGGAATGCACCAAAAAAAAAAAACCGCGTTAGAAAACTATTCATTCACAACGCATTAGAAAACTATTTATTCTCCTGCTCATTGCAATGAATGACAACAATTCAGCATGAACAGACTGTTATCTTAGCCTCTGCCAGTCCAAATTCTGCTGGGCCAGCCGCAGAACTGAGCCCGACAGATAAGCAAATGCTAGTGTTTATAGTAGTGTTGAAATAACAAATTGAACAAATGCAGTGAAACGGGATAGCAGCAATAATAACAGCCGAGTTTAAAAGATGCTGCATAGCTTAGCTAATGAGTTATAACAGATTCAATTTGGCTGCCTTATAATGATGGCATTTTTCTCTGATTCATGATAGTTACATTTTCCAGCAAACTTTGTCAAACCGCACCATTTCAAGAGGAAACAAATGTTAAAGTCTCTAAGAGTTTGGTGTTTTTTCAGAACCACCAGATGGCTGTTTGTTAACTGGCACAGACTCCAGGAAAACGACTAATTTATGAGGAGAAAAAGAAAAGGGACAAAATCCTTTTCTGCTTTAGAGCAGTAGACAACGTATGAGAAATTATTATGCAGGGTGTGATCATGCTATACATACCCCTAGATTGGTGGTTCTCAAGTGGCACCCAGTTTCAAAAACTAATTTATATATTACAATATTGACCTCTTTGCAGTGGGGCTGTGTGCCAGGCAGGGATAAGCCTGAGCCTGCGCTTAACTGCTTATCTCGTCACACTTCAAAGGATCTGGTGGCAACCCAGGGTGCCACACAACACTTGTATTACATTATGCAGGCAGGCACACTGCTTCTGCTTTAGCTATTGTTTCTCTGCACGAGTCAAACCTAGAAGAGCTACATCAGGAATGGTGCACCTGCCTGTATAATGTAGTGCAGTCAGATGTATTGCCTCTGCTACAGCAGCTTCACAGTTGAGCTCCATGTGCTTCCTGAAAACCAAGACTTACAGTGCAATTTCACCCATGGTGGCAGCAGCCCAGAGGAGGCATGTTGGAGACAAACTGGGAAGAGCTGCAGGAAAACTGACATACCTGCCTGCACAGGGACAACTAGCAGAGAAGCACCTTGTGCTACCGTTGGTTGTCCCTGGGGAACATCCATGCCACATACCCTGTGGTGTGTGGCAGGTTGCCCCAGGTGGGGTAGGGGTGGCTGGAGTCAGCACTGGGCTGGCCCCAGCAGCCTTCTTACCTGAGAGTCTGGGGACCCCCTGGGGCTGCAGCAGTGGTGAATTTTTTAAAATAAAAAAATAAATAAAACAGGGTCTGTAGGTATGAGATACGGAAAGCCAAGGCAGGCATGGAGATCAAGCTGGCATCCGAAATAAAGGACAACAAAAAGTCCTACAGGTCCATGGGAAGCAAAAAAAAATTGAGCTCCACTGTGGTACCCCTACTGAATACAGAGGGAAAGCCTGCAGTTGATCCCCACGAAAAGGCAGAGCTCCTAAATGGATACTTCACATCGGTATTCCAGAAAGCTAGTAGGAGCTGTGCACCTGTCCAGAGGCCCAGAGAATATGGGGAAGTCAACAGACAGCATGAAATCAGTTCCGAATGTGTGAGGGTCCTCTTAGAACAAGTGCAAGTTTTCAAGTCTGCTGGGCCAGACGGCCCACATCCAGGAGTCCTAAAAGAACTGGCTGAACTTGGGGCTTTTGGCGAAGATATTTGAAAAGTTGTGGAACTCGGGAGTGGCCCCAGATGACTGGAAGAGGGCCAGCGTGGTACCCATATTTAAGAAAGGGAGGAGGGATGACCCTGCAAACTATAGACCGGTCAGTCTGACTTCAGTCCTAGGAAAATTTTTTTAAAAAATTGTCAAGGAGGCCCTCAACCACAAGCTTTAAACTGACAGGGTACTAAGAAACAACCAGCATGGCGTTGTGGAGGGTAGATCATTCCTGACAAACCTGTTGTCCTTTTACAACCAGGTAACTAACCAACGGGACAAGGGATCTGAGGTAGACATCATTTACTTAGACTTCAGTAAGGCCTTTGATTCTGTCTCCCATGAAATTCTCTCAATTTCTGTACTCTTAGGAGCCTGGAGGATAGGCCCTAGGAAGAGAGACTCCAGGAACTAGGCGTGTTCAGTCTGAGTAAGAGGAGGCTGAGTAAGAAGTGACTTGATAGCTGCCTACAAGTATGTCGGGGGTGGTGGGGGAGGGCATCAAGATCTAGGGGAGCAACCCTTCAGGAAGGCACCCCTTGGGAGGATGAGGACCAATGGGCACAAACTAATAGAGGGAAGACTTAGGCTGGACATAAGGAAGAACTTCTCCATAAGGGTAACTAGAACCTGGAACACTCCTGGCAGAGGTGGTGCAGTCGCCATCCTTGGAGGTGTTCAAGAGGAGACTGGATAGTTGAACTAATTTGAGTTCATTTACCCCCTGCCTATGGCAGAGGACCAGACTTGATAATTGTACAGGTCCCTTTCCAGTCTATGGTTCTATAACGTAGTGTAGTCAGCATGCCTTTCTGCAGTAGCCGTTTCTCACTTCAGCTCTGACCTGACTCCTGAAGACAGAGGTGCAGGGGGAACCGTTCCATCTGCCCTTGGATGCCTCTGTTTCTGAGAGATATTGTATCAGGTTAGAAGGGAAGGGCTGTGGCAATAGCACACACTTGTTGCCAGCCTTCTCAAAGTTGCCTCTTTCAGTGGTTGACCATTTTCGTAGTCAGAAAGTTCCTCCTAATCTCCAGCCTAAATTTCCCCTGCTGAAGCTTGAGGCCATTGTTCCTGCTGGTTGGAGTTCCATTCAGAGTTCCAGGAATTGTGGAGAAAAATCTAGCCCTGAGCCTATAAAGGTTGAGAAACCACTGCTTTAGGGTCAGATTAATACTCCTGATACCATACCAACCTAATGTGCCCATCTACCCCATGGAACAGTATGTCCAGTTTCAGGACATGGCTCAGAGAAGCATGCCTAAAGGAAAAAAAAGATAGGCTATGTGTATGCAGAAAACATTTTAAAGCCTTGTAGTTCAGTTGAATTGAGACCAAATTTCTCAGAAACAGCATAAAGTGGCTTTTTAGCCAACTGTATGCCAGTTTTAGTTTAGTAACTCCACTTGTCTCAGCCATCTTGAGCAGTTGCTGACAATGTTCACAGTACTGTGTGTACTTGTAGAAACATACTTAATATATAATATATTGAACTAATAAGGCACATTTCTTTCTCATATTAAAAAAACCATTTCTAGGCAAATTGCAAGCCTGGAAAAAATCAATCCTTAAAGGGCAGAATTTTCAGTAAGTAATGAACAGCTGAACATAAGGGAACAGAAGGAAGCCATTGTGCAACCTTAGAACAGTAGTGTTGCTTCTGCAACTATACTGTCTTCTCCTTGGGCTTTTCTCACCCAAAGAACCACCAGCCTCTGTACACAAAACCACTTTCCTAGTGACCCTCTCTGATCTGTAGGGTGAACTTTTGACTATTAGTCTCATAATATTTCATCCATTATACCAGACTTTTCCTCTTGAAAAATATTGAGTCGCATTTTTGCTGGGTCTTTTCAAATGTTAAGATTCTCATTCAGTAGCAGTATAATTTTTGGGGGGCTCTCTAAGTACAGATGACAGTCCTGAGCTACTAGAACCATTTATTTTTGCTAAAAGAGCGTAGCATGTTTAACTTCACTCTCTGGCAGCCCAAGCACCAAGGTTTATGAAAACAGATTGTGAGGTGGGAGCTAAATGAGTGAGTCTCAAACTGGGTGCCAGGGCCTGGCTTTTAGAAGACTCTCAACTTCTCCTGCCATGGCCTGGTCCATACACTGTATCCAAGAAAGCAGTTGTTCAGGTTGAAGGGAAGCCGCTGGAGCGGTCTCCTTCATGCCTCTGAGGTTTCAGGGACCAGGCTAGAGGAATATAGCCATATAGTTCTGGATCATGCAGTTTACACAGACATGGCTGTCTTCTTAAATAGTAGAGCTCTGTTGCCCGGAGGGAGCAAAAGGGATACGAGTTTTTTACATGTGAGTGCTCACCAAAAATAATGCATAGCATTTTCTGAAAGTTTGATGTTGCAAAATATAAACCTACATTTACACATAATCTGTGAAAGAGAACAGGCATACGTTCCATCTTAATTTTGTGACTTGTAGGTACTTGATAACAACCTTAATGTTCTTAGTATTTTTTAGAATTATTATAATTTGTGGAAGCAGGGGAAATGAGTTTTATGTGTTTCAATACTATACATGCTTCTGTGCACAGTTGTAATACAGGTTTGATAAACTTAATTACTTGTTCAGCAGATCATAGCATCTGTTTACACATGTGTCATTAACTGTTACCATTATTTTCTGTGGTGTGTTTATTATAATTTGTTTTATGTTTACTGGAAGCCACGTAGAAAGGATTAAAAATGTTATCTTTATAATATATAGCTATTTTAACTGTCCGAATTCCCGTGGGACTGGCTATTTTAACTGGTTTTCATTAATATCATCAGGTTAAATGGGCTAAAGAAAACTACCACCACAACATTGGCTCTCCATATTCTCTGCGTTTAGCCTCTGCTGATGCCACTGGAAAAATAATTGTTTGGGATGTGGCAACAGGAACAGCACGCTGTGAAATACAGGAGCATACAAAACCAATCCAAGGTAAGGAAGTTGTATGATGTTGATATGATCCATGAGTTTAAATTGGAGCTTGGAGGTAGAACTCACTCATTCTGTTCAGTTCACTGCTGAGTTACTGTCTGACTGAGAAATCATTTGCCTTCTCTGCCTGTTTAAAGTAGATGTGAGAAAACTTATCAACCATCTGTGAAGCTGTGGGGCTTAATTTATACCTACAATGCCTTCTTGGGATCTTTTGATGAAAAGTGCTATAAATTACAATTTTTAAAAATTAAACTTATTGATAAAAATTCATGCAAAGAATTGAATGTTTTCTTGTTTTGCTTTAGGGACTGAATGCACTTTGTCGCCCATATAAATACTACTGACATTTATAACAGTACAAGACCTATGCAGCTATACAGCACTATAAATCATGTATCTCGCTGTACCATTTTACCATAAAAGAAGTATTAGAAGATACATTTTATATTGCTGTTACTGACCAAGCATGTCAGTATGATGTTACATTTGTAATGTGTAATTGTAAGGAATAAGTTTTTCTTGTAAACTGTTAAGCTTTGAGCATGTATAGCTGTTGTCCTTGGGGCTCAGGAGCAAGATGCTATTCTATGTGTATGAGGTTATATGTACAGTGCAGTAAAATGGAGTAGAGAATGGAAACAAAGGGGGGATATATTGGGAGGAGGAATTTGGTTTGTGAAGTCCCATTTCTGAAGGGAGTTACTTTGCAACACTTCAGTGGGAAGCCATACATGTGTAGTCCTGCTTACCTAGGAATTGGAATATTCTTTATTTTATGTCCATAAAACAGTATTATAGATTAATGCAGAAATTCCCAGCAGTTTTCAATTTTCTGTCTAGGACCAGGACCCCAGGCAACATGTTTCTTAACATAAATTTCCCAAATTTCACACAAATTTGGAGTTGTAATCTTGGCAAGAAATTTAGGGGGTGTTCTTGCTGTTGGGTGCTGCTGAGAGTTCTTAGGGAAGGCAGGTGCTTGGTTTTGCATAATTGTTTCTTTGTCCTAATTCCAGTGGGACTGGATATGCTGTTAATAGTAACTATGAATGATGCCTTGTGGAGCTCTTCCTCCACTCATCTTGCTTGCCACCAGACAGCTTAGTTTTGGAGACTGGAAGTTGACTCCATAATTTCTAAGAGCACCTCTTGCCGGAGAGTTCACAGCTATACCTTTTGGGGCAATGAAAGAGAGAAAGGGAGCTGAAGACCTGACCTGGAGTTGTGGGGTAGAGCAGATAAAAGCAGAAAGAAATCTTGTTTCTCTCTTTGTCATTGGCCTTCAGTCTAGCAAAAGCTTCTTGTGGCATATTGCTATACAGGCAGTCCTGGGACTTACGACACAATTAGTTCCTGAAAACTGTGTCTTAAGTCGAAATATTGTAACTCGGAACCAATTTTCTCATAAGAAACAATGTTATAAATGGGGGATTGGTTCCTAAACCAAGGCCTAATACTCTATTTTCATCAAAAATACCCCAGAATTTTGTACTTGATCAATTATAGATGGGTAATATAGCTACATTAATGTATTTATATTGTAAATAGTAATCATATTGATTTGGAAGGACCTCTTTGAGGTGACTTTGCTGGACTTTTTGAAGGATTCTTGGTTGGACTTTTTGGAGGGTTCTTGGTTGGAGTCTTCTCAGGAGTCTTGGCTGCAGGTTTTTCTGAAGTCTTGTCTGCTTTCTTTAAGAAATTGTCCAAGGAAGTTTGGATGGGTGTTCTCCAGGGAGATGGGTGGCATGGTGTCACATCAGATCAAGTGTTGTAAAGTCAAAACTGATGTCATAAAGTTGAAACAGGGTGTCAATTTATAAATGTTGTAAGTGCGAAACATATCTCGAAACGTTGCAAGTTGAGGACTGCCTGTACATACATCCCATCATCAGGCCAACATTCCCCCGCTTTCCCTCCCCCACACACGCACACCTACCTGTCTTGCATCTATTGTCTCCCATGGCCTCTGATCCTCACTGCCATGCATTTGCATTTTCATAGACCTGCATTTTGCATATTGGCTTCTATTCCATCCAGGAGAACACAAAGCAACAGCAGACTCTCCCTATGCTGAAGAAGGGTGTTTGTGCCCAAAGCTTGCAAAGAACAATTTTTGCAGAGAACGGTTTTTCCAATGATTTAGTTGGTCTAATAAAAGATATCACATATACCCAAAGAACCTTGTCTGCCTATGGCATACTGATGGCCCAAGAAGGTGAGAAGTCCTACTTTGATGATTGAATTGGGAACAGTTTAACCAGGAGACCTAGATGCTTTTCCTGTTTTCACCAGTGATTTTATGCATGATCTTTGGAGCATGTCACTTCATGCATGCTGCTATGTTTCCCTGGCTATACAATAGGGATAATACTACTTGTTCACTCTTGTAAAATACTGAAGTCTTTGAAGTAACTATATTATTATTGGTAGCAGGGCCTTGCAAGTAGCTTCTGTTTGCCATGCTGGCTGTTAAAAGATAGGCAACTTTATTTTGTTGGGAATTCTTAAACACACAAGTTCCCTACAAATGTTAAGTGTCCTTGTGATTTTACAATAAATAACAAATCTTCTGTTTTAGTGCTACTCACATCATTGTTAACATGGATTATTTATGAATTTATATATTTTGGAGCGTCATTCCTGTGCAATTACATTTCCATGGTGAGTTTCCAAGAATAATTGCTAGCTTATTTGGTCCCTGAGCTGGCTTTAAAACTCCACATGACACTGACATTCTGTTTTTATCTTTTAATTCTATTAGCTGAAAAACCACTTAAGAAATTAGAAAACAGAAGCATAAAACACATCAAAACCTTGTTACAGTGGCTATGACACAGGTTCAATTAATTTAATTAACTTTTGTTTCTTCTGTAATGTTGTATGTTTTCTTTTTCTAATACGACTGAGTGGATGACTGTTTGCAGTGGCTTTGTACGTTTTGTTCAAACCCATTTGCATTCATTCCTAGTCATATATAGTTTGTGCATTCTCATCCAGAGTAAGTTTTTATGCCTGTTTAAATATCTGTTAGATATTTAAGTCCATGTTATTTTAATGTCACTTGAAGGTGGGGAAAGATTATATTTTAATTTGCAATTGAAAGTTTGAGCCTTAATTTCTGGTCCATCTCCCAAGCCTTGCAGTACAGATAATCTCTTCCCATACTCCTACATATAGCCCATTGTCACAGAAATGTTTCTTGGTGTCTTCATATAAAACCTCATAGTTGATCTCTCCTTCTATGATCATACAGTACTTCTCTAAACACAGAAATGAGTTATACAGGAAAAAGGGGGAGAAGTTTTCTGTATCCTTCACTGTCTTCAGTGGAGGAAGTGCTTCTTTTCCATGTCTTGCTCTAATACCATATTTTATTGTATACAAAACACACAGCTTTCCAAAAACCAGCCACTGGAAATTGGGGTGCGCATTGTGATCAAGGGAATTTAGTAATAGCAGTCACACATGTTTCTGCCAGGCAAAAGCAAAAGTAACTTTGCATGGGATCCATAGGTAGCAGGACAGTGAGTAGGCGCAGCTTCCTAGCTGCTGCTACATATGTACTTACTATAAGGAAAGATCTTTTTTCCTTCATGCTGCATTTCAAAAATGAAGTGCTCATCTTCTGGGGCATGCTGCATACAATACAACTTTCTGTCATTTTCAGTCATTCTGCACTGTCTGGCCTGTGATCCTTTTCTCCCTTTCATTCCTGAACTTTCTTCTCTTGCTGGTAGATGGCATTTCAGTTCCACTAGTGTGGTTTCGTTAAAGTGGCTTTTTCCTTCCCTTCCTTGTCCTACTTAGCAATAGCTCATAAAAGCAGACGATAGTTGGTGCTTCATTCATTCTATCTGGTTCTACAGGCTTTGCTACGCAATCAGGGGCTTCGAAGTCAATGGAACCCAGTGGCAATAAAGAGAGTCAGCAGTAGGATGACCTGCTAGTTCTCCATGCATCGTCAGTACATTTCTCACAGATGTCTTGCAGTTTAAGAACTGCTGACATACAAAACAGCTATACTTCTTGTGCATAGTTTAATATAATCAGTTCATCAAGCAGTGTATTCTTGGCTACTTTTGGTATAATATTTCTTCATACATTGGATGTCTAGCAGTAAAGGAACATGAATAGCACTGTTTTAAGGAGAAGACTTTGCTTCCTCTTGCAATGCACCATTGGGTCAAGCAGTAACCAAGGAGTTGCATTTAACTGTACTGCAATTTAAATAGACGCAATCAGCGTAAAAATTTTTTTTTTCTGTGAAATATAGTGAGATGCTGTATGTGCCATGAAGAGCTTAAATAGACAGTGGGAGAAAATATTAATCCTGCTTTATATGTGGGGAACTGAAGTAGGGAGTTATATGAAGATGAAGGTAAAGAGTCTGTGTTGCAAAACTGAAACAAAGATCTCCCGAGTCTGTCTGCTGTCTACACTGCTTGGCCGTCTTTCCTCCCATCTCCATATAAATCCTCCTTCCATGTCACCATAAATCCTTTGATTACAATTATATGCTGTCTGTTTATTCATGAGCTTCACGTCCCTTTGTGTTCATTGAATTTGGCAAGTCTTACTATTGACTACAAAGGGGTCAAGTGAAACCGTGATGAGTACTTTAAAAGAAACCTTAGTACCATATTTTCTTGCGTAATACCTGCACCTTTTCCCCATTCTCCTCCCGTATCCCTGGACCCCTGTTTACTTGGTACTGCATATTGGTTCTAGTCTTTTAAAAATATCTTACGCAGAGTAAAAAACAGATGCACTGCATTCTCCACAGGATAGATTAAAATATACACTGCATGTGTGGATTAGAAATTGTTTATTATGTTTTTAGAAAAAGAGAGAAATTGCATGTGAAAAGTCATCCTCTCTGAAAGATATTTTCAGACTTGAATAAAAAGCTCTTCTCATGAGCTCAGAAAATTTTCAAAGTAATCTGGTGTTTCATACAAATGATTTGGTACATTCTTTTGCATTTTTATATTGACTTTTCTATCGCATGTGATTCAAAAAAGCAATGCCATCTGTTAAAGTGAGCTATAAAATTAAAATTTAATGGAAAGAAAAATTGAGAACTCGGAAGATTTTTAATTACACCCTGTGTTTGAGATTGGAAACATTTTACTACAATTATAGCACAAGCACATTCTTTTAATGTGCTGTTACAAGTTTGCTTTTTTATTTATTCAGTATCTGACAGAATTCAGAGATGTCTGAAGCTTGCAGCTTGGTCTACTAGCATAGGTTTTTCATTTTTATATTAATTGTTCTGATTTGATCTTTTTTCTCCAGGAATATCGCGTAAGAGAATTTTATATTTGCATCTGGAGAATAGATCTAAATGGAAATTCGTGAAAAGGAGTAGGAAAAAAACTTAAATGCATCTTCTACTAATGGGATATTTGTGAAGGAAAAACATGTACAAACTTTGGCTAAAAGAGACACACAGGGATAAGCAGCAAGGCAGTCTGGAAAAAAATCTTTAATATTTATATACAAAGAAGAATGAAATGGAAGTTATTACATATACATCACATAGCTATGCATCTTCAATCATATTTCAGTTGTGGAATCTAACCCACCAAGTTTCTGCAGTGCTACTTAACAGGGTAGATTTGATTTAAATCCAGTCAATTTAAATCATGATTTAAATTGTGATTTACATCACTGGTCAGGAAGCCTCACTTTAATCATTGTTTTGTACAAAAAGTTCATTCTTGTTATTTGATATTCTTTATTCATTTAACTTCTTGAAACTGCAGTTTTAGAGAAAGGTAAAGACTTGACTGTGTGTACACAAACTTGCAGAGACAGTAAGGCTGATGGGTAGGTAATCAGGTCTGTTATCTCCCATCTCCATATACTGCTATTAACAAGGATGTTACTGGTTTCCCTCACTTTATGCGGGTTCTGTATATGCAAATTATGCAATGACCCTTTTTATACCAAAAATTCATTATATGCAAGGTAAATTCACTCTTATGCGATCGGTGTGGCGGAAGCCCACAGTCAGCTGCTTTGTGCAGTGCAGTGTGGGAGTGACGTGCACCAAAATATAGTTTCCTGTGTGGATCTGTGCGCCTCGCTCGTTGTCTGTGATATGCTTGTGTAGTTGCCATCCCCATTATGGTAACGTGCACCACCACCCTGTGCTTGTGTGTACTGTCTGCTGTGGGTGAGTACCAAAATTGGGTTGTAAAAGTGGTAGAAATAGGTCTGGGGATCAGTACAGTCAAGGTCTTGGAATGTATCCCTATTTGTGACATTGTAAAGTAGGTGCCCTTTGTGCAAATTTGAGTTATGCACCATTTTCTAGCAACGCATGCACAGCATAAAGCAAGGGAAACCTACATCTCTGGAGACAACAAACTCTCTCTATGGCTGAAGGAGGCCGTTTGTGCCCAAAAGCTTGCAAAGAACAATTTTTCCAACTATTTATTTGGTCCAATAAAAGATACCACATCTACCCAAAGAACCTTACCTGCCTATGATATCTGGAGACACAAATCCATAGTTTGAGAACTGAAACTAGGCATCACAGAGATGCTTCATGGGATCTTCTAGACTGAGCACTGAGTCCCACTGGGTAGAGTGTTTTTCTTTAATCTTTACTAATCTATAGAGGAGCCTCTGGGAACCCCATAAGATTGGGCCCCTAATATAATCCATGGCCTGTTGTGACTTATTCATAAAACTTCTAAAAAGGTTACATGAATATGTTGTCTCAAATAGTATATAATTAGAAGTTATAGTCTCTATTCCATGATGATATCTAAGTTGATTGGGGGAGGGTGTGGTTGTAGTGTTTGTGGGGGAGGGGTTGATGGTATGGTGCGTTGTGTATGGGAGCCCCCTGCATGCACCTCCCTGGAGTGGTTAGCACCCACCCCGCAAGAGCCCAGAGCACACATGCCCTGTGATGCCTCTCCATCACCACCAGCAGCACATAGCCCCAGCGTGCCCTGCTCCTGCTTTGCACTGGCCTGCTGTGGCACTTCCTGCTACTCCCTGGACACACAGTGGAGCTGGAGTGTTTCCTTCCAGCTGCCACTGCCGCTGGCCCCAGCCCCATGGTACTGTTGGGGAACCACGTGCGCAGCCTCAGCCCAGCGTGCCTTGTACCTGCTCCAGACTCGCTCATCCAGGCGTGGCACCAGCAGCTGCTGGGCAGAAACTACTGCTTGACATGGGGGAAGAATGGCCTCTCCCCCTCACCGCTGCTGAGCAGCTCTTAGCGCAACCACCTGGAGGTGGCACCGCACCAGGCTGCCCTGCGGCTCCATTGCTGCCTCTAGGCTGCCCAGCTCAGCAGTGGTGATAGTGCAGAGCAGCCTCAGGGCAGCCCAGGTGGTGGTGATGCAGGGCAGCCCAACACAGTGCAGGCTCCAGGCGGCTGCACTAAGAACTGCTTGGCAGTGGTGAGGGGGAAGGGCAGCTTTTTCCCTGCAGTGAGCAACAGTCTGCCCGGCTGCTGCTGCTGCTGCTGCTGCTGAGCCTGCATGGGCGAGTCCAGAGCAGGCATGAAGAGCGCCAGGTTGGGGCCATGCATGCGTGTCCCTTCTGGTATTGTGGGACTGGGGCCAGTGGGAGCCGAAAGGAGGAGCCACTGCCTGGGCTGCCTAGAAAGGCAGTCCAGCCACGGAGCTGCCCCAGCTTCACTGCATTGCCAATGGGCGGCAGGACATGTCATAGCCACGTGGCGCCTGGGCCAGGCAGGACCAAGAGACCTGCCATGGGCTGGACAAAGCACCTCTGTATGCCGTATTTTACCCACCCCTGAATTAGATGGTGCTAGGAAGGGGAGTGTATACATGTGTGTGCATGTAGCACCTTTACACTGCTGTATCCTGTATTTGAACCAAATTCATATTTGAAACTATGAACTGTTCAGCTTAATGACTCCCAATAAGTCACTCTCAGTTCTTCTAAGACAAAGTTTCTTTTTAACGGAATTGAATAATTTCAAGCACTGCTATTTCGTCTCTTCTTTCTTTTGACAGACATGCAATGGTTATGGAATCAGGATGCTTCCCGAGACTTACTCCTAGCAGTTCATCCACCAAACTACATTGTCCTGTGGAATGCAGACACAGGCACCAAGCTCTGGAAGAAAAGTTATGCAGAAAACATTCTTTCCTTTTCATTCGACCCCTTTGATCCTTCACATTTAGCTTGTAAGTTTGCTTACATATATATTTTTTCGTATGTTTATCTTTTTGTACATTGATTTTATGCTGCCAATATTGCATGGACAGAAATTTTTTTAACATTAACTACTTACATTTCAAATCCAAAATAACCAACACCTTCTTTCTGATCACTGCACTGATTGTCATGAGGGTCCACTCAATTGAAGTACTCCAGGTCACTCTTGATCGCTTCTGTGAAGCACAGGAAATGTTTGGTCTCAGTGGATGCATCTACATGAGATGCTAACTGTGCAGTAGCCTAATAACACTGCACAGTAGTGTGCAGTGTAAAAACTATGCTAATATGCTACTGTGCAGTTAGTATCATTAAAAAGCCATGTGCGGGTGCTACTGCGCAGTAGTGCCAGTTGCTGCGCATTGATTTAGTACTTGGGTATACAAGTACTAAACTGAATGCTCAGTAACTATGATGCATTAATGAATGTGTAGACACACCCATTGTCAACTTCACAGAAACCAAGATACCTTACCAACCAACCCCAAACCAACCAGCTGTTCCACCACACGTTACAATTAAAGGATAAACCTTGGAGAAGGTTGATCTTTTTTCTTACCTGGGTAGCCACCTTTTTGAAAAAGATGATGATACTCAACGCTGGATAAAATTTGGTGGTGCCATCTTTGGACAACTCCAAAATTGTATCTTTGATGATCTTGACATCAGGACCCAAGCTTCTCATCTAACAGGCTGTTGTCATCCCTAACCTGTTGTTGGGTGCGAAACTTGGATGATATATTGGAAGCACATGAAAACTTTAGAATGTTACCATCAATGATGTTTTTGGAAAATCCTCTGTATCAGTTGGAAGGATAGAAGAATAAATGGCAGTGTTCTGGTTCAGTCAGGCACCACTAGCAGTGAAGCCATGGCTGGAGGAGAGAACATGTGAAGAGTTTTGAAGTTAACAGCAAGAAGTGATGTAGGATATTCAGGGCAAGGAGCTGAGAGGTTAGGCATCCAAACAGTTCACAGCTAGATAAGACAAGGATGAAAACATTAGGGGTAGTGTTTGGTGGAGGAGGACTGTGAGCGTTAGGTAAACTGGAGAGGAGAAGGTTACAGTATGTGGAGACAGTCGGGACATGCACAAGTATTGTAGCCACTGGAATGGGGAAGTAGTGTGAGGTTTTTCTACATGTCATGCAAGAAGACGTAATAGCATTTGAAAACAGGATGTAATAGACTGAAAGGGGCACATTGGTATTATGCTCAGTTTACTAGTTTTGTGAACAGGAGAGAATCGGGTTTGGGCAACAACAAAGATAAATAACAAGGATGTGGAAAATGGTCAGGAAGGAAAATAAAAATTCTTCAAATAGACTGTCTATCAAGTTTTTATTTTTATGGAAACCCCAGGGCATTGCTGTAGTAATTCTAGTTGTCTTTTCTTCAGAAATATATATCCTAGCTTTGCAGAGAAAAAAATCTTTTTGATCGTTGTGCTGTTTAAAACTTTGCCTGTCCTTTTTGCAGAAGCAGCAAAATAAAGCAAGTTGGGTTTGAATGAAATTCAGCATGAATGGTGTTTGGATTTTGATATAATTAGGGAAATTTGCTTGGGATTCTGAAGACTGAATATAAAAGTTAGTTTATTACTACTTGCTCTTTGTTTACTGCATTCCCAAGGATAATTCCACCTCTGCCACTAATCCGTTGCAGCTTTCTTGCATATTTCTTGACTGATGGTTCTTTTTTCATCCATAAAATGGGTAAAGTACTTAGTGACATGGACAGTTCACCCAGAGTTTAAAAGCTACTGCCTGGCAGTGGCAGCGGCATTTCTACTACATTTCTACATTTCATGGTGCATTATAACCTGATTCCTTCTAAACTTTTCATTCCACAGATGTTAACCGCCCTCTCCCCTTTAATGGGCTTGATGTTTCACTAATTAAGCTATCTTTTCTTTTGCCATTCTGTTGTCTTCTAGTAGCTCTTGGTAATGCAGCTCCTGTTTCTCAGCGCTGCAGACTGTTTTTAACTTTAGCTAGAACTGTTAACTCAGGTGAACATCAACTCAGATGTAGATATAACTTTCAGTGAAGCATTGGATTGCTGTCGAACTGCTCAAGAAGGCTAGCTTTTGTTTTATGAATCTAAAAGAGGTGTAGGTTTATTTCTAGTGACCACAGGATTAATTAAACAGCATAGGTGATATAGCAAATTAATGCTCTTTCTAATAAAGTTATATTTTTTTTGTTTTGATTTTAAATGGAATAATATTAAATTATTCCAGCAGATAATTAGTAAAGCTTCTATGGCCCAGCAGATTAGTAAAGCTTCTAGGTTATTTCTAACTGAAAAAGTATATATTGTTTTATATGTGATGATATGCTGCAGCATCTGCACTGCCCTTTTCAAAATCCTAAATCTACCCATGCTTACTGATTTGATTTGAAGCTGTAAAATCCTGTGCAAGTGCAAACTATTCTCTTGGGTCTGGGAGTTCCCCCAGTTCTTAGGGAGGAAATTTCCAAAGGCATGAAGGGGAATTGTCAACTGAGTCCTGTTTTGTAATTTTACATACTTCCCTTTAATCAGGGAGTATTTGATATTGAGTGTTTTGGTATAGGGCACTGATAAATCTTGATGGAAGCTTCTAATCTAGTATTAAGCGGCTGGACGTGGAGCCTCCGCTTCACCGAGCGCTGCACCACCGCCGCTCCACGGGGCTAGTCTACTACGTTTCTACACAGGGTCCCCCAAAGCACAGGGCAGTCACCCCAATTCAACTCCCCCCCCCCACTCCTGGGTCAGCCCTGGCTGCAGTTCTTAAGAAATCCCTGAATTACCTTGCTTTGTTTCAATGGAATGTTAATTGTGGGACACTATCCATGATTTATACTGATCCTTTCAACTGTTTCACTTTAGATTGTGTTCAAGAAAACTAGATTCAGCTAAGGTGTTTGTTCCAAGTGCCTCTCGTGCCCTTCTGAGAGTCAGAACCTCACCTGTCATGTCTTCTGCTGCCAAAACCTCTAGCTGCTGCTTGTGATACCTTGTAGTACAGTTATGCATGTTCAATATAATGTTCTGTAGCCTGTGAGAATTGAAAAACTTGAAGGTCAGAGAGAAATAACACAGGAATTGCAGTACTAATTGATTTCCATATTTAATTGGATAAATGCCCATATGCTTGAATTTACTATAATTGCTAGAATTTCTGATCAGGGTACCAAAGTTCTGGGAATACTGGGGACCTTGCATCGGAGTACCCAAAGCCCTGCATATAATATTTTAAAGTGCAGAATAGTTTATTTAAATGATCAAGATAAGCAGTTGTTTCCACTAACAGTTGATAAGCACTTTTTCTGTATGCATCTGCATCAAAAGTGCTGCGTGGAAAAAAAGGCTGAGAATATGCACACGAAAAGTAGCTCATGTTTTAATTGTATTGTTTAATGTGGCTATTTATTCAGTTACCTTGTTCACGTTTTCCCTATTGGAATAGTATGCTTCATAGACCAGTCCAAAGGATGAAATTTTGGGTAATAACCCCACTGCCACTAATTAAAGATGTGACCACAGTTTTTGTTTTACCCAAATGTACAAATGTGGTATGTAAGCAGGCTGGGCTGGATAAATATAATTAATTCTCTTCTTGTAGTATAGTAATAAACAACTAATGCTTTTTGTGGTTATCATGCTTCATCACTTTTAATACTAAATGAAAAAAAACTGCAACTTCTTGTTTTTGTAAAGGATGCGCGTATTATCCTTGTTTTATAGATACAAGGATACTTGTTTTTTGTCTGAGCTCACTCAGAGTTTTCCTGTGCTGCTGTTATGAGTTAAGAAATTGTGTGCAGGTAAATCAAAAAAAAAACCTGATCTCTTACCTCCTCTAATAGTCTTGACTCTGAACTCCTAACAATTTAATCCAAAGTACCTTACTTTTACTATTATAACCTGCTAATCAACCTGAGTTAAGAATGCAGATATCAGTCCCCACTGTGCTGAGCCATGAAGAAAGTCTTAGGAACAGTATACAGCTTAATAGATCTAATTTAAGACATTAAGCAACCAATAGTTGTTTGTTATTACAGGGGTGTGTGAGTAAAGAGCTAGTGTACATGTTCTTGAGTCATTTGTCGAGGCCTTTATAAATAATAAAATAGTTATCAATCACAAACATATTAGAAAAAAAATAGGCCTCTAATATTTGGGTACCACTGTCTAACATGCTAACTAAAATGGTTATGTTTCTTAGTATTCTCCCATCTGTCTATATCCATCTGCCATTTTTTATACTGTGGGGAGCATGTGCTGTCTTTCTTGTCTCTTTTTCACAGATCCTGGCACAGTGGGGTACTGGGCTGCTATGTATCATGGCAACCGAAATAAGAACTCTAGTAATCAGATTAGTGATTATCAGCTTACAGTTAGCATCATGGTAAAATTCTTGAGGAGGGATTTAGAGGGTAGAATAGTGGTAGCATGGCCTAATTTGAGGACGAAATTTCATATAGAGGGCACAAAGGAGGAATCATTGGCAGAGTGGAGCATTATTATCCACAGAAGTGGGTAATGATGGAAGAGTATAGTTGGAAGAAGACTTGAATATGATACAGTAGAATAGAAGTAGCTAATGGAAGTTGGAAAGGTGGGAGCACCATCCATAGAAGGGGTAATAGAAATGTTGTTCCTTGTATGGAGAATGATGAGAGTTTCAGAAGAACCACAGCAAAAGCAGATAATTATGGTTTGGACTCGAGTTCTTAGCAGCCAAGATAGGGGAAAAGGCTGAATATTTTAAATGTACAGATAGCAAGATATGATCATGACCTGAATCAGCGTGGGGGGGAAAAGTCGAGATTATAGATGATGCTGATGTTTTAGGACTAAATAATAAGGTGGATTATGATGTCATGAGTAAGAGAGAAATGGGCTGGAGACAAGGAATCTAGCCTTAACTCTTTTAATTTTAAATTGCTTTTGAATTGTCCATCATGAGCGACCCATGTGACAGAATGGGATACAAAATCAGAGGGAGGAGTCAGGACAGAGGTGTGAAGAGATTTATAAGTTGTTCTAAAGATGATGGTAGGAGCTGCGTGTAGGTAAGATGACTTCCATAAAGACAGAAGAGGGAGAAGAGAGCGAACAATCATGCCCTTTGTCTGCCACAGACAGGGAGTCAGGAAAGAGGAAGACTCCCTGGAAGGGAGATGCTTAAATAAATGACAATAGAAGTAGGAGGAATACAGGAATAGACAGTGTTTTGGCATAGGGGACTAAAGAGGAGAGTATAAGCAAGAGTCAAAAGCAGCTGAGATGTCAAGGAAGATGAAGGACAAATTTTTGAGTTCAGTTGAAATGGCAAAGAAGTAATGAAGTAATTAACATTTCGTTCCTGAATTTAGTTCTGTCAGTAATTTTGTCTTGAAAGATAGTTTCTTCATACCTTGCTCTACCTAGAGTTCATCATGGCTGCTTACAGACAAAAAAAAAAATAGTGCTTTTCTTTAAACTCTGAGTGCTGCTGCATCAAACTCAGTGCATGCCCAGAAGTTGCCTTGCATTAGTTGGCTCACCAAATGTTTGTATAGATCAGGCAATTTATTGGGGCTTTTTTGGCATTTTTATTTAACAGTTGATTGAAGCAGCTATTAAGATAAAAGTGCCAAAAAGCTCTCTGCTGAAGTATCTGATCTGTACAAACGCTGTTTCTTCTGGTAAAGTGATTTTTTTTGGTTTTGGTTTGTTTTTTTTAACATCTGTAAGCAGCCCATGTCAGTTATACCAAAGCTTTTGTTTACATATGCAAACATATATAATATTGAAAATACACAGATGTCAGTCATTGATCCACAGTTGTTATGCTGTCATATAAATAATATCATGGTTAAAATTTCTGGGAGACCATCACTTTCTATGAGAATGAAAATGTAGATTTATCCTTGCTGGGTAACTGGTTTCCTTAGCTTTGTAAAACTTAACGAGCAATAGTTGATGGCAGAAAATCACTGTACTGAACTAATGTAAAAGGACAAACAAGACGTTTCTGCCAGTAATCTTACAGTATTTTTTAATATAGGGACTTAATTTTGAAATATTGAGTTTTGTGGCCTCTAATGAATTGTAATGGACCATCTGCTGTTCTTTCACCAGAAGATTCCTGTTAGCTAGAATTATGTATTTCCCAGCTTGTTCAACATTATTCAAACTATTACCATTTCTCCACACCAAAATTACATTAAAAATAAAACATCATGATAAAATTGTACATCCTATTTTGCTATAATAGCAACTGTTTTTCTTGTTACAGTGCTCACCAGTGAGGGCATAGTGTTCGTCTCAGACTTCTCTCCTTCCAAGGCTCCTGCCAGCTCAGGGAAAAAAGTATACATCTCTAGTCCACATTCTAGTCCTTCTCACAAGCTGGTTGCTGCTACAGGAGCTAAAAAAGCCCTTGATAAAGTAAAAATTCTAATCAGTAATGAAAAACCAAGGTAAGTTGTAAGTGTTTTGTGTTTCTTCATACACATAGACATAATTCTACACATGCCTGCAAGTTATTTTTTTCTCCATTTTCTGTAAATACTAGTTGGATCTTTATTGTTGAGTACTCATTAAAAAACAGGGGTAAAATGAAGGAGACAAAAGTACAAAGGGAATAACAGTTATTTCGTTCAGTTCCATTTCTACATCCTTTACCCCCATAGCAATACAACTAAAGAGCATCTCACCCTGTGATTATGAAATATGAAGGATATGAAGGTGGGGATCAACTTTTAATGAATTATTAAAGCATGTTTTTCCTTTTGATTCCCTGGTTGAGGTTTAATTTGAAAATTCAAAAATTATTCTTGATTTCAATAGCTGAAAGGGTAAGAACCTTTTATTATGGTACATTATGGACAAATGCACTTTTTGTCAAATCGGCTCTTACCCTTTTTGAGCTCTGATAAGTTTTGATTTCATTCCTTCTTTTATATTCTCAATAGAATTTACATATTCTAATTGAAAGTTCTTATTCTTCTCTTGCCAGATGGGTTTTTAAAATGTTAATATAACTTAGTGATGTTTCTCTACTTGTCTGTTCGTATGTAATGTGATAACTTTTGAAAATCATATCTTACCAATTCAAAGATTTCAGGGTAGGCTTTTTACATGAATAGATAAAAGGTTGTTGATTTGAGGAGGAAATTGAAAAGCCAGGATGGAGAAACCTGAGATGGGGGTTGGGGTATACTGGGAGCTGATGGTGGAGGTGGGGTGCCCTGACTGTTGGGAGGAGGAGACTAGCTGCAGGAGGAGAGTAGCTGATGTGAGTTAGGAGGTGAAAAGGCTGCACAGACTCTTCAGAATTGAGCAGAATGGGAGTGTTGGTACATAAGACTAGAGGTGCACCAGTGCACTGGTCCATATCATATCGGCACCAATAAAAGGAAAATGGACATTATCAGCTAATAAAAAAAGGCTGATGTGGCTGATAATGTTGGTGATAAATGCCTTGTGCATGTGTGCAGACACAGTATGCATATAGTTTCATAGTTAGTAGGGTCGGAAGGGACCTGAGAAGATCATCAAACCCAACCCCCTGCCATGGCAGGAAAGAGTGCTGGGGCCAAACGACCCCGGCAAGGTGTTCATCCAGTCTCCTCTTAAAGACCCCCAGGGTAGGAGCCAGCACCACTTCCCTTGGAAGTTGGTTCCAGATCCTAGCCGCCCTGACAGTGAAGTAGTGCCTCCTGATGTCAAATCTGAATTTACCCTCTGCCAGCTTGTGACCATTATTTCTAGTCACTCCTGGTAGCGCTCGGGGAAAAAGGGAGTCCTCCAATGCTTGCTGGTCTTCTCTGACTAGTTTGAAACAGGCCACTAGATCCCCCCTTAGCCTTCTCTTATGGAGGCTGATCAGGTTCAGGTCCCATAGCTTCTCTTTGTAGGGCCTGCCCTGCTGCCCCCGATCATGCGAGTGGCCCTCCTCTGGACCCTCTCCATGTTGTCCACATCCCTCCTGAAGTGCGGCGCCAGAACTGGACGCAGTATGCCAGCTGCGGCCCGACCAGTGCCGCATAGAGAGGGAGGATTACCTCCCTGGACCTGCTTGAGATGCATCTGTGGATGCAGGACAAGGTGTGGTTGGCCTTCCTAACTACATCCCCACACTGCCGGCCCATGTTCATCTTGCAGTCGATGATGACTCCAAGATCCATTTCTGCCTCTGCACTGACGAGAAGGGAGTTCCCCAGCCTGTAGGTATGGTGCTGGTTCTTCCTCCCCAGGTGCATCACCTTGCACTTG